ACAACCGTATTGTCGTGCCAGAGGACCAATGGCTCAAGATTCAACAGACCATACCTCAAGCCTTTAGAGCTTCCACGGGTACTCGAGTACTCGAGGACGAGTCGGGTTTAGCTGGACTCGAGTCCATTTTCTAGGACTCGAGGACTCGAAAAGGGGAGATAACTCGAATTATTGGGTTACGTTGACAGACTGTCTGTCTGCCATGTGCTGAGGATGAGCGGCCGTTAACGTCTAATATTAAGATAAGATATAACTTTACTATCCCGGAGGAAATTCTTATACATCCAAACTGTCTCAAATTTAATGAATATATACACAGTTCACAAAAATATACACAATAATTACTTGCACAAAACGAAAGCTATTTACACAATAAATCTGACATGATATAATTCCATTAACCACATAGGTAAAGAGGCTGAATAATTCTAGTTGTTATCACATGGTGATAATTCAAAATATTTGTTGCATTCACGAAAACTTGATGGTATGAAAGTCTGTCGAGCTCTGTTTCTTTTGAGGGAAGGTAATCGACGGCAGCGTCAGAAAAAGTAATTCAAAATGGTGAGATAAAATATGTTAACTATCAAATCTAATTTTAGTTGCCTTCTTGACCATCTGGCTCATAGATAAAGGGAATATACTCGAAATTTTGTCGGTAGTATTAACAATTTTGAAAAGTTTGTTTTGTTATAGCGATCAGACAGGCCCCATACCAACATAGAAAATTGTAGGTCAACACACTTTGAATAAAGGTTTGTTAAAACTGTCATTACGGTTTTGTCAATGACTTGACGATAATAAGGTTCAGAATCAGAAATTAGGCCAGTAACAGTGGCGTCATCTGCGAATTTCACAATAAACAAGTCATGTAATGACAAGTAACAGTCATTGGTATACAAAACGAAGAGTGCGGATGAAAGAACACAGTCCGTGGAGCTCCAGTAGAGGTTGAGAGGAAAGAAGATTGATAGCCATTGACACTGACATACTGAGTTGTATGTACCCTCAATTCTTTAACCCATCTGATAATGTTTTTATTAACGCCTAGATTAAGTAGTTTACTCCTCATAAGGTGTGGCTGTATGGCTGTAGTTGTTACAAGTCTGCAGATCAGAGTAAATATTATACATCGTTTGAGATTTCACTTCATAAAATGATTAGGTAACTATCTTAACAGACACGGAGAACGATAAGAAATCAAATGTATGGGCGTGTCTTGATCTGGATAGTGAAAAGAGAAAAATAACCAAATGCCGCCTGTGCAGTATATTACTGCGTTATGCAGGCAGTACAACCAGTACGATGAAAAAACCCACATTTGGCAAGTAAACATCCAAATACTGATTCTTACCAATAGGAAATGTTAGTCACACGACGATATGAAGTTGGAATGAAGTAAGTGTTCCCTTGTGTGATCTGAACACATGTCATGCCGGTTACGCTATCGTTTGTTTGAAAGGTATGAATTTCGAGTACTCGGGTCCAAGTCGAGTCTCACCCCTCGAGTACTCGAGTCCAAGAAAATGGACTCGTTGAAGCCCTACAAGCCTTACTCTCTCCGTGGCCACTACGACAGTGGCAGAGTCTGTTGGGTCTCCTCACGTCTGTGCAAGACATGACAGCCAGAGGCAGACTACAGTTACGCCCGTTACAGGTCCTCATCAACGCTCATCTCGACTACCTACAACCCTTCAGTCTACCGAATTGTCTCAGACCTCATCTACTATGGTGGACCCGGAGGTCGAATGTTTGCGAAGGCATCTATTTAGCAGAGCCAGAGTTCAAGACCCATCTATACGTAGACGCGTCACTCCAAGGTTGGGGAGCACATCTCGACAACCATGTGGCAGCCGGGATATGGAATCAGGAAGAGAAACGTCTGCATATCAACATGCTAGAGATGAAAGCAGCAATCAACGCCATACTCAATTGGAGCACCATTCTACAGAATGCGCATCTCATGGTACACACAGACAACTCGACAGTGGCGTTTTACATAAACAAACAAGGCTCAACAAGATCATTGAACCTACTACATCTCTGCTTTCAACTGTTCGACCTAATCGACGATCTGAACATCCACATAAGAGCATGTCACATTCCAGGAGCCAAGAATGTCATAGCAGACGCACTATCCCGTCCACCTCTACCATCGCCGACGGAATGGATGCTCCATCCAGAGATCTTCATACAGATCATCAAGGAAATAGGAGCTCCATTAATAGACCTATTCGCCATATGATTCAACAATCAGCTAACAACATTCGTCTCGCCAGTCCCAGACCCACAAGCGTGGGCAACGGACGCTCTCAGCATATCTTGGGAAGGCCTCAACGCGTACGCGTTTCCGCCGCCAGCGCTTCTACCAAAAGTGTCACAGAAAATCAGCCAGACAAGGAACCTCCAACTGATTTTGGTCGCGCCTTACTGGCCAGCGAGAATATGGTTCCCAATTCTCATACAAGAACCGGACCACCAATACTGCAACTACCAGAGCGATCGAATCTACTAGTACATCCTCACACAAAACAAGTGCACGGCAACCCAAGGGCATTTCAACTACACGTATGGACTGTATCAAGGCGTGTTTAAACAAGAGAGGTTACTCAGCCAGAGCGGCGAAAGCAGTCATGCTTGCTTTACGCAATTCTACACGCAACTTGTATGACGACAAGTGGCGCAGTTTTGAGACCTACGCTGCTAAAAAGGGATTTACAGCTAGAAATGCAACACATCCTCAAGTGGCAGACTATCTTTGTCACCTACGACAAACCAAGCGTCTGAAAGGGTCTACACTCTCAACATACCTAGCGGCATTGAGTTCAGTGATAACTATGAGAACGGGTGCAAAGCTAACCAAAGTACCAGAGTTACTGGCCTTGTTACGCTCTTACAGATTGGAGGACCAAAAACAGAGATTTCGCGCTCCAGCATGGACCTCAATATCGTTCTCAAACATCTCACAAGTGACGTTTACGAACCACTGGAGACAACATCCTTTGAATTCTTGACACCGAAAACGCTGTTCCTGCTAGCCCTAGCAACAGCAGCCAGGATGTCGGAAATTCATGCTCTAGATTACGAGAGAACGCAATTTGATGATAATCAAAATACAGTGCACATGGGACTGCGATGGGATTTTATCGCTAAGAATCAACTGCCAGGTCAACCGGACAGACAATTCCACGTCCCAGCACTATCCTCCATACTCGGACCACATGATACGCTTGACTTATCCTTGTGCCCTGTGAGAGCATTGAAAGTTTATCTACATCGATCCAGAATGAGGAGACGCAAGTTTAAACGACTTTTCGTCCCGATATCAACAGCGACACAGACGGAAGTCTCCCGCACTACGATATCAGTCTGGATAAGAACTGTCATACTACGAGCCTACAAGGCTGCAGGACTCGATCCTCCAAGAGCCTCTAACCCTCACGAAATTAGAGCACTGGCATCAACACTCGCTCTACATGGGAATTGCTCGCTTGACACGATCATGGAGGGCTGTTTCTGGAAATCGGACATGGTGTTTGCAAACCACTACTTGAGAGATATCGCCACCGAGGACGTCTCATGCATTCACCATTTCGGGCCCTCTGGTTGTCGCACAGCAGTTGACAGTTCCCCACAGAAGATGAGACGTAGTCTCGCTGTGTTATCAAATGACTTATCAAGCCTACACTCAGCAGAGTTTGCTTCAGTATCCTTGCACGTCTCAAGATTAGCATAAGTGATAAACCCAGTACTTGTAAGTTACTAGTACAGTTGGGTCGCTTCTCCACTTTGGAGTCGCTAAATCCACATTAATGTTAACAGAAATAGGACCCAAAAGTTAACTATTGTGGTCCCCCCATCTAAAGGCAGCTGAAAGAACACTTTTGCTTACAGCAGCAGAATTTAGCATAATTACAGTGCCATTATGAAGTTCCCGTGGGGGGTTTATTTTGACGTAAAATTCACTAATTAAATCCTAAGTGCTTTTTCCCACCACCTTATCCGTCGGATTCTACAAGCAATTAAGCATGAGTCAGGATAAGTATAAAATATCAATTTTACTCAGAAAATTACATATTTTTCCTTATCCTGACTCATGAGGTAAGCCCTCCCAACCTCCCCACAAGACACTTTGGATTTCCCTGTAAATTCAAGTGTCGGGCTCGTATTCAGGAGAGAGTGAGGCATGTGGGAGAACAGTGGCGCCAGTTTCCCGCCAAAACGGAAGGAGGGACAACTCTTGGTGAGTAGTGATTAGTGATTTTACATTGAAGGGAGCTTCAATAGGAGATACAAGTGTTCCACTATGTTCGCAAGAAGAAGAAGAAGACAAGCAATTAAGCATGAGTCAGGATAAGTATAAAATATCAATTTTCCTCAGAAAATTACATATTTGTTGTTTGTGTACGATTCCTGCTCACGACCTTATAATCTATTCACTGCGCATGTGCTATGAGCGCAGCGCAGCACAGCTGTTGAAACCACTTTTCACACCAGCTGGGGTAATTTTAGTGAATCGTTTAAGCTCCGATTTCACGGGGGATTTTCATCGCGTTATTTTTCAACTTTATAAGTTGAATTTGCATTTTTTGATCATTTGGTACTTAAGTCCTTACCGAAAGGTATCAGAATCTGCAAAGTTGTGTTTTACGTTGCATGTAAGCTTTAACCTGTCACAGTAGGTCACAGTGTGTCAGTACTTGAAGCTGTCACAGTAAGTCATGGTGTCTGTACCTCAAGCTGTCACAATGTGTCACTGCCTTAAGCTGTCACAGTAGGTCACTACCGGTAGCTGTTAAAATAGGTCAGAGAGTGTCACTACTACATGCTGTAACAAATGAAAGGGCTGGTGAAGATTATTTGTGATGATTGATGCACAACTGCAGAAGCAGTAGCCATGGTTTCAAGGATGGGAAGATGTACAGATGTGCTTCAGTAAAAATATATTTGATAGTCATTGTTTTGGTGTGTGGAATGAGTGTGTTGTGCTTTGTGTACAGGTATGAGCTGGACCAGATGGACACCCCTGACAAGTACCCAGACTTGTTCTCTGTCACGTTGGAGCTGGCTGTATCACCAACCGATCGACCGCAGGCAGAAAAGCAGTATCCTTGGTTTAAGTTCAGTACAGAAAAACTCACCCCCAGAATTCTGTTTTCTGGGAAGGATGAATTGCATCAGGCATTATCCGAGTTCGGTAAGAGCTTTACCAGACAATACTATTAATATTCATTATTAGTAATCTAATGTATAAATGTATGATGTGGTAGTAAAACAGACAAGTACCATTTTTGTGAGATGGTCGAATTAGCCAAAATTGCTGTATTAGCAAATTTCGTTTTGATCACTGGCAACAAACACATGGTTACTTAGTAGTACCTGTATTTTGTGGAAGGCCCCAGAACTGTTTGACTTGGTAGTGGTTACACAAGAGTGTTGTAACTAACCCTTCCTTGCCTCTATTACAGGTGCTTCAGAAAGAGCCAAATCTCGTTTAAGTCGAACATCTAGCTTGAACTCCGAGAGTCCATCAGACAGCCCTCTTCATCAACCATCAACACCTAGTAAGAAACCGGCAGTAACGCCAGAGACTGCCCGTAAACAGGCCAGTGAGCCCAAGAGTCAGTCCCACTTCTTCACAACACTTGACTGGGATACTAATGTTCAAGCTGAATCAGGGGAAGCTGTAGAGCCCCGCCAGCCCACAGAAGTAGAAATCCGCCTACTAGATGCTAGTGATGATGAAGATGATGACTTTGTGTCTCTGTCTCGGGACCGTGCAGGAACTCATAGTAGCAATGGTAGTGACAATGTGGAGGCACCTCAATCCCAGAATGCAGACTTCTTTAGTGATTTCAGTGCTCCAGCATCAAGTGATGCTACTGCAGATTTACTGAACATGAACAGTACAGGTTCGAAACAAAATGATCCTGTGACTGACCAGATGGACCTACTGAATATGGGTAGTGATCCAACTAACTTTGACTTACTCGGTGGCTCTGCAGAAGTAGATCCCTCCAATAACCAGTCTTCTAACATCCAGTTTGGAAACACTTTTGATCCTTTCCAAGAAATGGCATCACGTCAAAAACCTGCAACTAACAGTTCTGGTAATACAGATTCTTTTGGAAGCTTTGACCCTTTCCAAAGTTCAGCCCCAACTGTAGAGAATGGAGGTGGTGGAAGCTTTGACCCTTTCCAAAGTTCAGACCCAACTGTGGAGAATGGAGGCGGTGGACCAGCTTCAGATGATTTTGTTAGTTTCATGGAAAATCCAAATCAAACAGCTGGAGATCCAAATGATTTAATGGGCAACTGGGATGCCAGCAACATTCTCCAGAGTGGTGGCAGTAACAGCAACATTCCCAAACCTGCCAATGCTGGTGGAATGGGCATCGGCATGTCCAAGAGCCACAGTTCTTCCTTCCCACAGCAAGCTGGCATGGCTGCCCCAATGTCTGCGTCTCAGGGTGCAGGCATCGGAGCCGTGCCTAAGGCAGATCCATTTGCTGATCTAGGTGAGTCATGTTATGTACAACTTGTTCTTAAGTCAACTGCACCTTACAATGTGTTTACAGTTGTGTTTACTGCCCCAGGAAACTAGATCTGACATGTGGTTGTGAATATGAATGTCACGGTCTTAAAGATGCGTTGAGTATTTATGAATGGAATTTGATGGACAAATTTCTGCATTTATTTCCATGTATCTTATAGGAAAGTTGTCTGGCATGAAAGGTAGCAGTAGTCATGGTAACTTCAAGAGTCAGCAGCCAATGGGAAGTATGCCTTCAGCCAGACAGCAGCCAGGCCCAAAGCAGAATTCACCAGCATTTGGAGGTCCAGGTAACTCCTAGTTTCATAATCGGTCTCTAACGTCACCACACTTAATTTGGTAATACTGTCTGTCAGATTAAAAGGACTGATGGGGCATAACTGGTAGAAATCACATTGTTAGGTAGCCAGTGGTTTTGTAGCTGCAGTCAAAAGAGTCTGATGTTAGCCATATTGAGCATCCGCCCTTCAATCAGTTAGGATCACTTTGTGACATTGCCTTTGCTTGTTATGGTTATATTTATGACCATAAACAAAATAATAATATTGATTGAAAAAGAACTGTTGTTAATGAAAGAAAAAAAATCATAAGGAGTAATGAAGTATTTGTTCCATTCAGAATTAATAACTTCATTATGCAATACATCTGAGTTACCTCTTAGTTGTCTCACCATCATGACAGGATCAATGAACTGGCAAAGTGGCCGATCCTCCCCATTGCATCAGCAGCACCAGACACAACAACAACAACAACAGCAGCAGCAACAACAACAGCAGCCTTTTGCTAAACCAAACTACAGCGCCAGTGTTATTGGTGGAAGAGAGGACCGTGGGACTCGAAAAAGTTTTGGTATGGTCACATTATTTGTAAAGCCAACAGATGCCAAACATAATGATTTTTGTGTAATGGTTTTGTTTTTAAGCCAGAAATAATGTTATTATGTGAAACTTTGTCCCCCAAAATGCAAGTTGCTTGGGTTATCGAGTGTGCTTAAGCTCCTCTCAGTGTTCTGTCATCTCTATAGGCATTGTCATTGAATAAGCCAAGCACTGTAGGGAGTTTGTGGGCTAAACATAGACGCATTTTATAGCCAGCGCCAGTTTTCATAAAAGCACTTTCATTAAAAATATATTTTATATTTCAACACTTTTACTTTCAACATAATTTTTAGGACTAAATTACTTATAAATGGGAACTATATATACATAGATATTTTTTTCATTCAGTTATTTGCATCATTATACAGGAATGGAGTTTATTTGTTATATTTTTCGTAGCGGTAAGAATGCATTACACTGGACAGCCATTTTCGTGCAGCTTTGGTCAATGTATTGTATTTATTAGGATTATTTTGAGGGGTTTAGGTTTAGGGTTTAGGGACTTAATCCAACTTGGTAGGTAGATGTCCGGTGTAATGCATGTGTAGTTTGTTGTTATTGTTTTTCCTTTCGCATTACTGATACTTTTTTCACTCAAAAATGTTAAAAGTACATGATGAAATGTTTAATGTTGAAAATTTGGGCTATTGGAAATTGTCCTGGAACTTGCACTTAAGCTACTTTTACACTCTACATTTGTTCAGCAATGATTCGAAGGCTAATTCACCCTCATGGCGTCACCAGCAAGCTCATGTCTTCCTCATTCGTTAGTGAGGTTCACGTAATCCTTACAGTGTTCCCTACAACACTTTTCTGTCACAAAATCACCCAATCAATTTTTAACAGCACGTCATTCATGCATACTGTGAATTCAACGTCTGATGCCTGACATCAACAGTTGTTTTCGGTTCACTCCATATCAGCTCATTCCACACCACTCGGTATCAAATAGATTATGGCATTGGACGAGTGTGCCAAATGAAATCAGAACCATTCATCAATTATCCGTAGATTACAATCACGAGACTAAGTCTATCCGTAACCTTCGTAATTGTCCGTGACCTATTCGACTCTCTCTGTTCATTTCCGTAATATCTCAGGAATGATTGGATACATTTGCATGTTGTGTAACAGTGTGGATGTAGCTCCATTTAGTTCGCTGTCAGGCTGACAATCCAAAGGTCACCAGTTCGCATACGACGGATTCTCACAAAACTGGGTGCTTGTGTTAGTGACACGTAACCTATGACAGAGAAATTGTGGTGCTGGTGCTGTATTCTAAAGGTGCTCCCTATTACAGTTACCAATTGCAGTCATGCTGTCAGTTAAGGTTGGGTTAAAATATCTGTTACTCAGTGCTATGAGGTGTGAGGTTCAATCATGTTAAAACACATGCAAGTCATTTTATCAATCAGTCTTTGCAGGAGCAGATTACTAGTATGTACATTGTACTTTTAACATTACTCCGTTTAAACATGACCGCCTCCGTGGTGTAGTGGTTAGAGCGTCCGCCCGGAGAGCGGAAGGTCGTGGGTTCGATCCCCGACCGCGTCATACCAAAAGACGTTAAAATATGGTACTTGTTGGTCCCTGCCTGGCGCTCGGCATTAATGGGTACAACAAGGACTGGTCGGCTCGGAGTCAGTATAATGTGTCTGAGTGGGGTATTCATGCTTCACTGCGGCATGGTATCTCAGTGTGCTAGCACTATAAAACCAGCTTCAGTCTGGGCTAGTACAAGCATCCGCACATACACATACACACGTATGCACGTCGTCATATGAGCGAAATATTCTCAAGCACGACCTCACCTCACCGTTTAAACATGAAATGACACTTTTATACCACACTGATTAGTCCTGAGCTACAATTAGGGTTGGAATCACTGTTTTACCATTCAGAGTAGGTTCGTTTCTTGGGGTCTCTACATCATCAGAACAAAGAACAATAAAGTGTGATAATTTGTGATGAAGCTTCCCTTGTTTAGTGATTATTTCAGTCCTGTGAGAAAACTTTCTGATGCATTTGGTACATGTAAGGGAGACTCATTCCTATACTGATACTAAAGTCTCGTTACCCCTCTCCTTCATAGAATGACTCATTGATCTGTTTTTGTCGTTATTTCTAGGACCTAAACCAAAGGTGTCAACAAATGCTTTTGAAGATCTCCTAGGCCAGCACCAGTTCTCAAAGAAAGATAATGAAGGTGCTAAAACTCTTGGGGACATGAAGAAGGAAATTATGGCTGAATGCATGGACCCTGAGAAACTTAAGGTAACTTGACACACTGCCTGCACTGTGGTCAATGTTCATTGTTGGCCAGCCTGGACCTCCAGGGCTTGTAATGAAGGCCTGTCCCTGCTACTGGTCTCTCCTTGCCAGAGGGTCATGATGTTTAGATTGTTGTAAGACCATAGTCACTTGCTCACTCTGCCATAAACTTCTGCTATTTATTGTTATAGACACTTTTGAAAAATATTTAGAGGATAATCTTGTCCCTATTTTATCAGTTGTTGCTTTATGTTAACCTGATATATGTACATTGCAGGTTCTGGAATGGTCCAAAGGGAAGGAGAAGAACATTCGGGCACTGTTGTGTTCCCTCCAGAACGTCTTGTGGGATGAAGAGAAGCGCTGGAAGCAGTGCGGCATGCACGAGCTCGTCACAGCAGACCAAGTCAAGAAAGTGTACAGGAAGGCTGTGCTCTCCGTTCACCCAGACAAAGTGAGAATTGCCAAGTGACATGTGGCTATGGACCAGTAACTTATGTGTAGGGCCCAGTAACATGTGGTTATGGACCAGTAACTTATTTGTAGGGCCCAGTAACACGTGGCTTTGGACAAGTAACTTATGTGTAGGGCCCAGTAACATGTGGTTATGGACCAGTAACTTATTTGTAGGGCCCAGTAACTTGTGGTTATGGACCAGTAACTTATGTGTAGAGCCCAGTAACACGTGGCTTTGGACCAGTAACTTATGTGAAGGCCCAGTAACACGTGGCTTTGGACCAGTAACTTATGTGTAGGGCCCAGCAACATGGCTTTGGACCAGTAATTTATGTGTAGGGTCCAGTAACACGTGGCTTTGGACCAGTAACTTATGTGAAGGCCCAGTAACATGTGGCTTTGGACCAGTAACTTATGTGTAGGGTCCAGTAACACATGGCTTTGGACCAGTAACTTATGTGTAGGGCCCAGCAACATGGCTTTGGACCAGTAACTTATGTGTAGGGTCCAGTAACACGTGGCTTTGGACTAGTAACTTATGTGAAGGGCCAAGTGACATGTGGCTTTGGACCAGTAACTTATGTGTAGGGCCCAGTAACACGTGGCTTTGGACCAGTAACTTATGTGTAGAGCCCAGCAACGTGGCGGTGGCCCAGTAACTGAGATGTAAGGCCCAGCAACGTGGCTATGGACCAGTAACTTATGTGTAGGGCCCAGCAACATGTGGATATGGACCAGTAACTTATGTGTAAAGCCCAGCAAAGTGGCTGTGGCCCAGTAACTGAGGTGTAAGGCCCAGTAACACATGGCTGTGGCCCAGTAACTGAGGTGTAGGGTCCAGTAACACATGGCTTTGGACCAGTAACTTATGTGTAGGGTCCAGTAACACATGGCTTTGGACCAGTAACTTATGTGTAGGGCCCAGTAACACGTGGCTGTGGCCCAGTAACTGAGGTGTAAGGCCCAGTAACATGTGGCTGTGGCCCAGTAACTTATGTGTAGGGCCCAGTAACACGTGGCTGTGGCCTAGTAACCGAGGTGTAGGGCCAGGTTACACGTGGCTGTGGCCCAGTAACTGAGGTGTAGGGCCCAGTAACACGTGGCTGTGGCCAAGTAACTGAGGTGTAGGGCCCAGTAACACGAGGCTGTGGCCCAGTAACTGAGGTGTAAGGCCCAGTAACACGTGGCTATGGCCCAGTAACTTATGTGTAGGGCCAGGTTACATGGCTATCGCAACAAGTATGTTGTTTACATTGTAGTTTGAGTGGTATTAGTTGTCAATTTCCTTAAAGATAATCCATATTTATATCATGTAATTTAATCAACATTATCCTTAGTGATGACAGTTGAATGTCTTTCTGATTGTTGGATCTTCTTTTCTTCCCCTCTTAAACACTGCTGCCCACCTGCAATGGAGGGAGCATCAACACCTGAAGTTGACATTGAGATTACATTAAAGGCTGTTCGAGTTTGTCCTCTTAGTTGTGAATACTGGACAGTGCAATAGCCAATTTTGTCCATTTTCATCAACAGAGAATATTTAGTCACTTAAAGGCCTACTGAAATATGCTGTGTCATTATGAATTTGGTTCAAAAGCAGCATGTTAGCATGGAGTGTTTTATTTTTAGCACATACAATATTTCAAAATGTCTTCAAAATTGATTTTCTGTTTCAGCTCACTGGCTCTCCACATGAAAATCTGGCAAGGATGATATTCATGGAACTCAGTGAAGCTTGGGCCCAGTTTGAAGAAGAAGGAATGAAGTCATTATATTGACATGAATGATATTAGGAGATTATCAATTTAAGACACCTAGAAAACATTCAGGAGCATGAAAATATCCAGGCTAGCTTCATATGTTTCTACCACCTAGTGTTATCACTCCCTCGTTTCTACTGCTGCCACTAGTCGAGGAAAGAGCACAAGACGGACAGACTGAGATGTTGGATGTTCAAAACAAGTGGCTGGTGCAAAAGGCAGCAGGAGACTGGCATCTAGGTTGAGTCTTGTGTAGATATGTTACTGATACTGTGTAGTCACTGAGGAACAGTACTGTAGATGAAGTGCTTCAGTGGGAATCTGGATGACAGTCGAATTGTGCAATAATCAAATCAGGACAACAGAGGAAGATGAAGAGCCAGCTACCAGTGCAAATAGATGTAGAAACTCATATATTTCTGGGCTGTGATTAGGACATGTTTAATTTATTGTTAAAGTGTGACAGATCATGCAATCATTTAGTATTGCAAAGTTAGGTTTAGATAGTTAATACAGTTTGGAGATACAAAAATGTAACACTGAATAGTTCTTCTGTTGACAAAATATTCTTAAAACATGTTTGTTAGGGTGCTTTGTGCCACATGTATCATATCATGAGGTTGTGTGTGCATAAAGAGTGATTGTATATCATTTAGCATTGGTGAGTATAAACTTGTCAACCAGTATTTTAGCTTACCAATTAACAGCAGGTCAGCACTAGCTGTGATGTTATGTATCTATGAGATTAATATCGGACATCTTTCTGGCTGCTGAGAATGTAGTATTGGAAAACTGATTTCATCTTATCTATCTGAATGTGAACCATTGTGCATGGTCAGGATTCATGGTATAAAAATATTTATTACAAAAGCAGATTTGTTATTAGCAAATTACATGTCGTCAAAGTTCAATGTGTTTCAGTAACCAGTAGGTGAAGGTAGTCATGCCCTTTAGCAATGGACCATGTTGTGAATTTGATCACGACCTCTCAAGTTTCATATCATATTGCAACGTGTATTGTTAAAGCCCAGTTTGAATTAGCTTTTACTTTCACGATTGTGACATATCCAGTGTATTGGTCCTTGTAACATGTCAAGGATTCCGAGGTTTGCAGTGCACGTTTTCAGCATCCTTAGTCACCTTCGGGCATTGTCATCTCAAGCTGACATGTTGCTTTTCGCAACTGTCAGAGATGAGTTGTTCCCCGCATTAGCTGTGACAGAAGTCTGAGCTTGCATGATTACTTAATGTTATGTTAAAGTAGTTTTTACCACCCAGCAACATGAGAACAATCCTACAATGGGACCAAGTTGTTTGTTTGTTGTTTCAACAACATTCCAGGTTTGTGCTAATACCAAATGTATTGTCAAGGTCACATACAAATACCTAGTGGGAATATTTCATTGTCAACATCACATGGATTCTTCTGAGAGCATGTATTGTTTTTGTTGTACAACATTGTAACATCATTTTCCCCACTTGATCATACTAATTGACAGTATTTTCAACACATCGATTATTTTGTGTAATGAAAATCAACCAAATGTTTTATTGAAGTAATTACCATTCCTATCAATGGCCCTATTGCTGTGTCCAGTGTTTGTTGGAATGTAGCAGTGTTGAGCCAGCAGATGGTGCATGTAGATATTTGTCAGCTGTAGATTCATTCTCTGGTATTGGTATTTAGGGGCATTTATTAGAACTTTGGAACAATATAGAATATCTTTGAAATGCTGATGTCACTGTGAATGGAAATATTTGGCTGGTAGGCAATCACTTGTGCGCAAGGATTGATAGGAACTACACACACACACACACACACACACACACACACACGCCTCCCACCTTATGTTCAAGTTCAGTGTGCCAGGGCAACTGGATGCTTCGTGTCATGCTTGTGTGCAATTATTCTCCACTATGATGCTTTCTCTTGGAATGTTATCTTTGTATATTTTAAATTGTCTTTACATGTTTTATTTCTGTGTACGCTATAAATAGAGAAACCTTATGTGAACAGTTTGTCTGTGAGTTTTAGATCATTCAACAGTCATGTTGACTCCTAGCAGAACCAAACTGTATCAGTTCATCTCAATCAAATACATTCCTAATAATTCAGCTTTGAAAACTGCAGCTTTTCTTCATGTTGAATGTAGGCATCGCTACCCTCTCTGTCTTGCACAGATACTGGGGCTGCTTCAGTAGAAGCCGATTCTCCAGGTAACCTATGCAGTGTTTTATCAAGCAGTATTCCCTACCACTGTCTGTATATAGAGCAGGTATCACCGATCATATAAGCATCCAATGACTTATTTTTAGACTACATTGTATATGATTTCTTTTATTTCTTATGCCATCCAGCTGTCCCTTGCTCATTTATCATATAAATTTATTTGGACATTATGATGAGTTGGAGACATGTGATATCCTTGTATCTGTACCTAGTCTCCTGTCTGTTTTACCAATGTTTTCAGGAACGTTATTATAATCCCATGATATGAAGAATGACTGTTACTGTTACAGCACTGTTATTGTTTATGACTTCAGAGCTATCTTATCAGTGGCTACATGAGAATCAATTGGGTTCCATCTCAATTTCTTCAGTCTAAACCAACCATACTTTGATCTCTTTTCTGTGAAATCATGCTAGGTTGTGTTTGCTAACTGCACAAGCTGTACCTCAAGTTGACCCACAGTGAGGCAAGTTATCCATAACATCAAGAAGCCAGATCTTCCCCCAGGTTTTAGTGTGCCTGCTAGGTCGTGTTATGAATATAGAGATGTCCTGTGATTACAGTCACTCATCTATATGGGTTATCATTCTTAGGTATTGCGCATATTTTTAACACAAATTCTTCTGTCTTTTCAAAATTTCAAATTTGACATTTTATTGGTGTTAGTGCAGGAAGCAATGGCTGTCCAAGGGTTAAATGTACTATACTTTAACATGACCTTGAGGCACTTACTTTGTGAATGTGTTTGTTTTCAAATAATCTCAATTGAAATGGCTCAGTGGACTTGTGCAGGAAGAGCAAGTTGTGTGTGTTCGTAATGGGAGGCAGCTGAACTGTATGGCAGACAAGTCTTAAAAAAAAGGGGGCTTCAATTGTCAAGGCAACTGGATTGCTGTTGGAAAACCTGGAGATTTATTGACAGACTGTCCACTGTGATGTATATTTATTGTTGACAATTAGGAGACACGTTATATGCAGCATGTGATGTTTATGAGAACATCTTAGCCAAAATTTGTTGTGCTGTATCAATACCAATAAGAAATATAGATATAACATTGTTTTAAACCATAAAAGGAGAGTATGCATAATGAGTACTATCATAGAAATAAATGATGTAACAGTTGACATGTTATTGTGTGTTTTGACTTGTTGTGGTTGGGCCATCTTCATTACTCCTGGTTTGTCAGAATCATGGGTTTACTGAGCAAACATCTGCTACAAGCATTACTTGGCTTTCCTCGTACATGTAGTGATAACACATTTCAGAGCGCGCTCCAAACTTTCTCTAACTTGATTGTACATGTGTCTTGAAGATTGATATATGTTTACTATAACATGCTAAATGCCAAAAAGAGGCATGCACCATTTGGTCAATATTTGTGACACATTATTTCATAGACATCTTAACACAATATACACTCTCAAGTGTTTTTGCCCCAGAACATAGTTACCAAAACTGAATTTTAGGAAAATATTTGACACAAACCAATCCATGCTGAATCCCAGCATGTGGGGGAATGGTTGCCGACGACAAAACGTTTAACAAAAACGTAACATTACACTAGAGAATCACTAAAATGCACCCTACATGAAATGCACGAGCATCATGAAATTGTGTATCACCCTGAGCTTTAACTGACTGTAGGCTTTAAAAAGTCACATCAATGGTACTCCACATGCATTGCTTTAAGCCAATATAGACGACAAGAGAATGAAAAGACTGACAGAAGCTCAACGACACCGGACGTTTACAAGGACACACATCGCAGCATGATGTGGCAAGGCATTTCAGCGGTCTAGACAGACCATCTCAAACCTATGGACCCGATACAAAAATACCTGGAGTGTTAATGACAGACCCAGGTCGACAGCCGCCCAGGATCGCTACATCCGGTTGAGACATCAACATCATGTCGTTCCCTACATCAACGTGATCTTTGGAGCATGACAATGGTCGACCTCATGTTGCACGTGTTTGACAGGTCTTCCTCCAGCAAAACAATGTTCAGTTGTTATCTTGGCCTTCTTGATCACCGGATTTGTCCCCCATTGAACATCTATGGGATAGTCGTGATCGATGCTTGCACCAGCATAATCCGCCACCTCAGACACTACAAGAACTGCACACAGCACTTCAGCAAGTGTATCAAAACATTCCTCAAGACAGCATTCATTTCCTTTCTTCTATTGGTCTACGCTGCCAAGCTGTTATCGATGCTCATGGTGGTCACACCAGATACTGTCATTTTACTCTGACCAAGTGGCTTTAATAGCCCTCTGTGGTTTTACAAAACACTTTCTGGATAATCATGTTTAGGAAATTTGTAAAGTGATGATTTTACTGTAACTGAGCAATGATGTAATGGTTGAATCAGTTACATGCACTCAGTAAGTAAACTCCAAAGCAAAACATGCCAAGTTTCATTTTTGGAAGAGTATCATTAGCTCAAAGACTACAAGGACAAATAATCTAAGTTGATACTTTCACATTTAATATATAAAAAACAAAACAAAATATAGACTATAATTGCGGTTCCATAACATAAAGAAACTGAAGCCAACCCATCTGGAAATGGGAAAAGGGAGCAGCCATGAGTGTCATTGCAGAGTCTGTGTTTGCCAGGGGACTGCTGGTGTCAGTGAACTGTCGGTGTTGGCCAGGGACTGCTGGTGTCAGTGAACTGTCGGTGTTGGCCAGGGACTGCTGGTGTCAGTGTCAGTGAACTGTCTGTGTTGGCCAGGGGCTGCTGGTGTCAGTGAACTGTCGGTGTTGGCCAGGGGCTGCTGGTGTCAGTGAACTGTCAGTGTTGGCCAGGGGGCTGCTGGTATGAGTGTCGGTGAACTGTCTGTGTTGGCCAGGGGCTGCTGGTGTCAGTGAACTGTCGGTGTTGGCCAGGGACTGCTGGTGTCAGTGAACTGTCGGTGTTGGCCAGGGGCTGCTGGTGTCAGTGAACTATCTGTGTTGGCCAGGGGGCTGCTGGTGCCAGTGAACTGTCTGTGTTGGCCAGGGGGCTGCTGGTGTCAGTGAACTGTCGGTGTTGGCCAGGGGACTGCTGGTGTCAGTGAACTGTCGGTGTTGGCCAGGGACTGCTGGTGTCAGTGAACTGTCGGTGTTGGCCAGGGGACTGCTGGTGTCAGTGAACTGTCAGTGTTGGCCAGGGGGCTGCTGGTATGAGTGTCGGTGAACTGTCTGTGTTGGCCAGGGGCTGCTGGTGTCAGTGAACTGTCGGTGTTGGCCAGGGACTGCTGGTGTCAGTGAACTGTCGGTGTTGGCCAGGGGCTGCTGGTGTCAGTGAACTATCTGTGTTGGCCAGGGGGCTGCTGGTGCCAGTGAACTGTCTGTGTTGGCCAGGGGGCTGCTGGTGTCAGTGAACTGTCGGTGTTGGCCAGGGGACTGCTGGTGTCAGTGAACTGTCGGTGTTGGCCAGGGACTGCTGGTGTCAGTGAACTGTCGGTGTTGGCCAGGGGACTGCTGGTGTCAGTGAACTGTCAGTGTTGGCCAGGGGCTGCTGGTATGAGTGTCAGTGAACTGTCGGTGTTGGCCAGGGGGCTGCTGGTGCCAGTGAACTGTCTGTGTTGGCCAGGGGGCTGCTGGTGTCAGTGAACTGTCGGTGTTGGCCAGGGGACTGCTGGTGTCAGTGAACTGTCGGTGTTGGCCAGGGACTGCTGGTGTCAGTGAACTGTCGGTGTTGGCCAGGGGACTGCTGGTGTCAGTGAACTGTCAGTGTTGGCCAGGGGCTGCTGGTATGAGTGTCAGTGAACTGTCGGTGTTGGCCAGGGGACTGCTGGTGTCAGTGAGCTGTCGGTGTTGGCCAGGGGACTGCTGGTGTCAGTGTCAGTGAGCTGTCGGTGTTGGCCAGGGGCTGCTGGTGTCAGTGTCAGTGAACTGTCTGTGTTGGCCAGGGGACTGCTGGTGTCAGTGAACTGTCGGTGTTGGCCAGGGGCTGCTGGTGTCAGTGTCAGTGAACTGTCGGTGTTGGCCAGGGGGCTGCTGGTATCATTAAACTGTCGGTGTTGGCCAGGGGCTGCTGGTATGAGTGAAAGTTCTGCATTGCTGTGGGGCTGCTGATGTCAGTGAACCGTCTCTGTTGCTAAGGGGACTGCTGGTGTGAGTGTCAGTGAACTGTCTGTGCCTGCAGGCGCTCTGTGATGCTCTCTAATGTCTCTCTCAGTTGGCCTGGTCTGCTGAAGAAGTATGTGAATAGGTCCCTCTCCTTTGCTTGGAGTCGATTGCTTTGCAGTAGCTGTTAAAAACAAAATGATCATCATTTCTGTTATTTCTTTTATCAATAAGACAAAAAAGGATGTATATTAGCTATCAAAGACGTCTTACGTAAGTGTTATTTCAAATTAACTACCGGTATCCCATTTAATTCTTATTTGCAAAAATGTACTTACTTTTTCTGCATGCAGAAGTTTGATTTATGTTTAACAAGAATGAAAGGAAATAATGCCTCAAAATGTTTGCTTAACAATACCATAAAAAGAAAATATTTATACAAAATATTTCATATATTTGGTTTTACACATGATTATAATATCTAGCTCTGTTTCTCATCATTTGTATCTTTCTTTTGATGTTAATGCCACAATCAGCAGCATTTCAGCTATGAATGCAGCCTGTAAAGAATTGAGCCTGGAACAGACAATCCAATGATCGATATTGTGACCAACAATCCATGCTGGTGGGGTATGAGAACATGCATGAATGAGTATCAACCAATCGTTTTGATCTAACCCACTCAGCCAATGCAGCTTCACAAACATGTAAGTTTGGCATTTAGTAGTTAAGATAACATTCTTTGTGTACCCCTCTGACAAATGTAAATTGGCACAGCTCCCATGACGTCAGCTATACACAGTGACTGAGTGGTCAGATGTAACGTGTTATAGTTAGGATTACTCTTTCTCTGTACACTTTCTCAGTAGAAGTACAGGGTTGGACTCAAAATGTACCTAAATCTGTACTCCACAGAGAAAGTGAAATCTACAATGTGCCAATTTGCAAGTTGATTCTAAGGAGGTGATTTTTACAAGATCAGAAAATGTGAGAGAATTTACATTGTACGGTTGGAAGTGCAAAGATCTTGTAAAGGTCCAAATCTAGAATACAATATCATATTGTGTTGAAGCCAAATACTAACGACACAGACAACACATATCTTTAAATTATTAACAGAATGGTTTGAGTAAAGCTAGATGTTACAGCTTTCAGAATGGTCAAGTTAAGGTAAAGATTTAACACATCCATCCATGAAACTGATGTTGAGTCCAACAACTTAATGCATATTAACCATTTCATTATATTTTAATAAAACAATTTGACTTACCGGTAGTAACAGCCATAAATGTTTAACTTAACCTACATTACACAAAATGCAAACATATTCCCACAGGACGATGGCAGGCAAACCTTCCATGGCATAGTGATTTGTTGTTATAATATCACTCGTATCCAAGGGTGTTGGCTGGACCAAGGGAAACAAACATCTGTGACTTGATCTGTCAGATGAATCACAATGTTGTTAACTAGCCCCAAAATACAGAGAAGCTGCCTTTAAGCTCAATTGTCAATGCTAATTCTCTTATGTGGCTTGGGCTGTCTTACAGTTGTAATACATAAGCACTTCCTCATATCACAAGTAGATAAGGGTTCATGAGGCATCGGGCTCAAGTGACATAGTAAATGAGTTCCAAGTAGTTCAAACTTATAGGTCTTGATCATGAAGCAGAGCTCGGATAAACTTGAAACTTCATATCACATGGGGTAGTTACTTAGCAACAGTTCCCAACTCCAGATCACAAGTCTGATACTGGTACACTGGGGAGTCGACAATGAACTGCGACACAACCTGTATATATGACCCGTTTGGAGTTAACTCTTGATCTCACAGCAGTTCAATATGGTCCAGGTGTGAACATGTTAACTACTGGGACTTCCATGCAGATGGCTTCTGTGGGGACGAGGCACCATATAATAGGTACTGGAACTAAATTCTGTCTGGTCGAAAAGGTTCAGCCAAACACAGATAGAAGTGTGTTGTTGCCAAGGTGTTAGTTGTAAGAAATGGAAGCAGGACCATATAAGCGTGACTATACCTTCCCATGATAACAATAGGATGTCCACGCTTCAGGACTGACGATACGTAAATCAGCAAACAGCAGTTGAGTTGGATTTGTGCTCAAGTAGAGATCTGTGTTCAGGTTGAAGACATCTGCATGAAACACTAACTCTTTGTGACAACCCTAAATGTAGCCGACTGTGACTGAGACAGTGGAGGGGGCAATACACCATGAAGGTCTGAAGGAAAGACGCCGTGTGACTTGAGCCCTGTACCAGAGTGGAGTTGACAGCTTCCCACTCCACGTGGTATATATGCCCGGTGGCTTGACAGCTTGATGTGTGCATTGGTGATTGTCAACTAATGGTGAAACTCAGGAAGATCAGGTGGGGGTTGTCAGTGCTGTAACAAGATTGACCCATGATCATCAAACCCTGTGCTGATGTCAAGAGGCCTACATGGGAATCCTTTAGGGGAAGCAGTGCCTGGAGTTTGTGCCACTGCTTCATACAGTCTTTGTGACAGCTGCCACTGTGAAGAAGTAAGCACCAGGACTTGAGCTGGTCTAGTTTGACACCATCATGCTGGTCTGTTAACAAAATGTCATCCAGCGAGGCATCAAAGTGGAAACCACATGGGTTGAATAACACTGTAATGGGATTTATCACTTGCATAAATATTCACAGGGCCATGGAAATGCCAAACAGTATGACACACACAATCCCAACACCCCCACCCCACCCCCCCACACACACTTTAAATCATTGAAACATCTGGTTTACCTTCTTCTTGGCATCATGATCCTTGATGACATCAATAATGGAAGCCTCCAGCTTGACCAGCATTGTGTCCAGATTAGTCAGGGTCTCCTGCAGTAGTGGTGGGGTCAGTGTCGGCTCTCCACTAGTTGTGCTGGATCCATGGTACACACACAGACACATAGGTCCACAGACACACATCTCCCTTCATTTCCCTGACACACACAGACACATAGCAATGACAGACCTGCATCTCCCTGACACACACAGACACATAGCAATGACAGACCTGCATCTCCCTGACACACACAGACACATAGCAATGACAGACCTGCATCTCCCTGACACACACAGACATCTCAGACCTGCATCTCCCTGACACACACAGACACATAGCAATGACAGACCTGCATCTCCCTGACACACAGACACATAGCAATGACAGACCTGCATCTCCCTGACACACACAGACACATAGCAATGACAGACCTGCATCTCCCTGACACACACAGACACATAGCAATGACAGACCTGCATCTCCCTGACACACACAGACACATAGCAATGACAGACCTGCATCTCCCTGACACACACAGACACATAGCAATGACAGACCTGCATCTCCCACACACAGACACATAGCAATGACAGACCTGCATCTCCCTGACACACACAGACACATAGCAATGACAGACCTGCATCTCCCTGACACACACAGACACATAGCAATGACAGACCTGCATCTCCCTGACACACACAGACCTGACACATAGCAATGAATGACAGACCTGCATCTCCTCTGACACACACAGACACATAGCAACAGACTGCATCTCTGCATCTCAGACCTGCATCTCCCTGACACACACAGACACATAGCAATGACAGACCTGCATCTCCCTGGACACAGACACATAGCAATGACAGACCTACATCTCCCTGACACACACAGACACATAGCAATGACAGACCTACATCTCTCTCTGACACACACAGACACATAGCAATGACAGACCTGCATCTCCCTCACACACACAGACACATAGCAATGACAGACCTGCACCTCCTTGACACACACAGACACATAGCAATGACAGACCTGCATCTCCCTGACACACACAGACACATAGCAATGACAGACCTGCATCTCCCTCTGACACACACAGACACATAGCAATGACAGACCTGCATCTCCCTCGCACACACAGACACATAGCAATGACAGACCTGCACCTCCTTGACACACACAGACACATAGCAATGACAGACCTGCATCTCCTTGACACACAGACACATAGCAATGACAGACCTGCATCTCCTTGACACACACAGACACATAGCAATGACAGACCTGCATCTCCCTGACACACAGACACATAGCAATGACAGACCTACATCTCCCTGACACACACAGACACATAGCAATGACAGACCTACATCTCTCTGACACACTTGACACACAGACACATAGCAATGCTGTGACCTGCACCTCCCTTGGCCACACACAGACACATGTGTGAACACTCTCTGACACACACCATATTAATGACAGACCTGGTCTCTCACACACACAGACAGACCTGCAGACCTGTATCCTGGCCACCAACACAGACACACTGTGTCCTTGACCTCCCTGTTTCCTCACTGACACGACAGACCTCACTGTGCTGTGTACCCAGACCTCCTTGACACACACAGACACATGTGGTTGATACCTCCTTGACATACACCAACACAGTCATTATTCATGTCTGATTATGGATATGTAACGCTGATGTCAATTTGTTCCTGCAAGTAGGATTTTCACATTTGTGTCATATGTGATACCTACAGCTTGTGTTTGTTCCTTCCATGTTTGCCTGTGTGTTGTGTTTCTCCATATTTCTCCATGTTTGCCTGTTCTGTCTCCATATTTTCCTACAGCTGGGCTGTGTTCATTGTGTTCCATGTTTGCCATGTTTATACATACTGCTGGCGTCTGTTCATTTCCTGGCGCTCCTTGGCTCTGTGTCCCTGTGTCTCCATGTGTTGCCTGTTCATGTACTGATACCTGTGTTCTGGCATGTGTGTCTGTGTTTCTCCATGTTTGCTTGTGCGTGTCTGTACTCCATACCTACAGCTGGCTGCGTTCCATGTTCCTGCTATTTCTCCATGTTTGCCCATGTGCCTTATACCGTGTACCTTGTGTTCTGGTTCCATGTGTGTGTGTGTTTCTCCATGTTTTGCCTTGTTCATATTTGTGATGCCTCCATATTCTGGTGTGTTCGTGTTTGCTGTTTCTCCATGTTTGCCTGTTCATATACTGATACCTACAGCTGGCTGTGTTGTGTTGTGTTTCTCCATGTTTGCCTGTTCATATACAGATACCTGTTCATATACTGATACCCATAGCTGGCTGGTGTTGTTGTGTTTCTCCATGTTTGCCTGTTCATATACTGATACCTACAGCTGGCGCTGCTTGTGTTGCTATTTCTCCATGTTTGCCTGTTCATATACTGATACCTACAGCTGGCCTGGTGTTGTGTTTCTCCATGTTTGCCTGTTCATATACTGATACCTACAGCTGGCGTCTTGCCATGCCTGTTCATATACTCGATACCTGACTGGCTGGCATGTTTGTATCTTTCATACACCGATAGCCTGTTTACATGCTGCCATGTTTGCCTGTTCATCCATGTTTCATGCCTGCCTGTTCATATACTGATACCTACAGCTGGCGGTGTTGTGTTTCTCCATGTTTGCCTGTTCATATACTGATACCTACAGCTGGCGCGTCTTGTGTTGCTATTTCTCCATGTTTGCCTGTTCATATACTGATACCTACAGCTGGCGTGTGTTGTGTTTCTCCATGTTTGCCTGTTCATATACTGATACCTACAGCTGGCGTGTCTTGTGTTGCTGTTTCTCCATGTTTGCCTGTTCATATACTGATACCTACAGCTGGCGTGTCTTGCGTTGCTATTTCTCCATGTTTGCCTGTTCATATACTGATACCTACAGCTGGCTGCCCTTGTGTTGTTTTCTCCATGTTTGCCTGTTCATATACTGATACCTACAGCTGGCGCGGTGTTGTGTTTCTCCATGTTTGCCTGTTCATATACTGATACCTACAGCTGGCGTGTCTTGTGTTGCTATTTCTCCATGTTTGCCTGTTCATATACAGATACCTACAGCTGGCGCTTGTGTTTGTGTTTCTCCATGTTTGCCTGTTCATATACTGATACCTACAGCTGGCGGTACTTGTGTTGTGTTTCTCCATGTTTGCCTGTTCATATACTGATACCTACAGCTGGCGCAGTCTTGTGTTGCTGTTTCTCCATGTTTGCCTGTTCATATACTGATACCTACAGCTGCTGTGGTTTTCTCCATGTTTGTGTGTTCATATACTGATACCTTGCAGCTGTTCATGTGTTGCTGTTTCTCCATGTTTGCCTGTTCATATACTGATACCTACAGCTGGCGCGTCTTGTGTTGCTGTTTCTCCATGTTTGCCTGTTCATATACTGATACCTACAGCTGGCGCGTCTTGTGTTGCTGTTTCTCCATGTTTGCCTGTTCATATACAGATACCTACAGCTCAGCTGGCTGATACCTACAGCTGTTGTGTGTTTCTCCATGTTTGCCTGTTCATATACTGATACCTACAGCTGGCGGCGTGTTTCTCCATGTTTGCCTGTTCATATACTGATACCTCTCCATGTTTGCCTGTTCATGTTCATATACTGATACCTACAGCTGGCGTGTGTTGTGTTGCTGTTTCTCCATGTTTGCCTGTTCATATACTGATACCTACAGCTGGCGTGTCTTGTGTTGCTGTTTATCTATGTTTGCCTGTTCATATACTGATACCTACAGCTGGCGTGTATTGTGTTTCTCCATGTTTGCCTGTTCATATACTGATACCTACAGCTGGCGTGTCTTGTGTTGCTATTTCTCCATGTTTGCCTGTTCATATACAGATACCTACAGCTGGCATGTGTTGTGTTTCTCCATGTTTGCCTGTTCATATACTGATACCTACAGCTGGCGTGTCTTGTGTTGCTGTTTATCTATGTTTGCCTGTTCATATACAGATACCTACAGCTGGCGTGTGTTGTGTTTCTCCATGTTTGCCTGTTCATACACTGATACCTACAGCTGGCTGTCTTGTGTTGCTGTTTCTCCATGTTTGCCTGTTCATATACTGATACCTACAGCTGGCGTGTGTTGTGTTTCTCCATGTTTGCCTGTTCATATACTGATACCTACAGCTGGCGTGTCTTGTGTTGCTGTTTCTCCATGTTTGCCTGTTCATATACTGATACCTACAGCTGGCGTGTCTTGCGTTGCTGTTTATCTATGTTTGCCTGTTCATATACTGATACCTACAGCTGGCGCGTCTTGTGTTGCTGTTTCTCCATGTTTGCCTGTTCATATACTGATACCTACAGCTGGCGCGTCTTGTGTTGCTGTTTCTCCATGTTTGCCTGTTCATATACTGATACCTACAGCTGGCGCGTCTTGTGTTCATGTTTCTCCATGTTTGCCAAGAGTGCTGAATCTGCCACTGCATGCTTCTGTTGCAGCCGCTGGGCACCATCCACCATCCCTGCATAGGTGAGGAACAGCTGTTGTTCTCCAGATTCACCCCCTGCTCCACAATAGTAGCACAATCCATCAGTACACAACCAATACACATGCAGGTTGGGGATATGTCACACAATCCATCACTACACGACCAATACACATGCAGGTTGGGGATATGTCACACAATCCATCAGTACACAACCAATACACATGCAGGTTGGGGATATGTCACACAATCCATCACTACACGACCAATACACATGAAGGTGGGGGATATGTCACACAATCCATCACTACACGAACAATACACATGAAGGTGGGGGATATGTCAAACAATCCATCACTACACGACCAATACACATGAAGGTGGGGGAAATGTCACACAATCCATCAGTACACAACCAATACACATGCAGGTGGGGGATATGTCACACAATCCATCAGTACACGACCAATACACATGAAGGTGGGGGATATGTCAAACAATCCATCAGTACACGGCAAATACACATGAAGGTGGCGGATATGTCAAACAATCCATCAGTACACGACCAATACACATGAAGGTGGGGGATATGTCACACAATCCATCAGTACACGATCAATACACATGAAGGTGGGGGATATGTCACACAATCCATCACTACACGACCAATACACATGAAGGTGGGGGATATGTCAAACAATCCATCACTACACGACCAATACACATGAAGGTGGGGGATATGTCACACAATCCATCAGTACACGACCAATACACATGAAGGTGGGGGATATGTCACACAATCCATCAGTACACAACCAATACACATGCAGGTGGGGGATATGTCACACAATCCATCAGTACACGACCAATACACATGCAGGTGGGGGATATGTCAAACAATCCATCAGTACACGACCAATACACATGAAGGTGGGCGATATGTCACACAATCCATCACTACACGACCAATACACATGAAGTTGGGGGATATGTCACACAATCCATCAGTACACGACCAATACACATGAAGGTGGGGCATATGTCACACAATCCATCAGTACACGACCAATACACATGAAACAATCCATCAGTACACGACCAATACACATGAAGGTGGTGGATATGTCAAACAATCCATCAGTACACGACCAATACACATGAAGGTGGGGGATATGTCACACAATCCATCAGTACACAACCAATACACATGCAGGTTGGGGATATGTCACACAATCCATCACTACACGACCAATACACATGCAGGTGGGGGATATGTCACACAATCCATCAGGTGGGGAATGTGTGACACATGCAACATTCATCCATAAAAACGTTTTATAAGTATGCACAATATAAGATATCTGGCAATAGTGATCCAAATGTTTGACGTATAGTCATTATTATCAGATATATATGTAGTAAATGCTGCCAGAAAAATGACATGGTATTTCAAAATATTATTTCTGACACATTAATGGTGTCATATACAACTTATTCCAAGCTTACTTTCTTACTGAATCAAATGTAGATAGGGAGGTAATGGTGCACAGCTGCACAGCACATTGCTATTTCCAGCTCAGTGTACAAGAAAAACACACAGTTGTCTCAATCCCTGCACATAAAGAAGTCCAGAGACGCTAACAGCACAAATTCGTTTCCTTTAAAAAACATAATAACCAAGTTTCTTATCACCTTTTCGTTCACACTAGTTCATTGATGGCATACGATATAGATTTTGCCTTCACAATGTACTTGCATAATCAGTCTGAGTACATAGGAAACCATGTCATGATGCCACAGTAACCATGTCTGAATCACCATCCCTTTAGTGTAGCACTCACCCAGCATCTGGTGTAGTCGGGCAGTGGCCTTGTCTCGGGAGTCTATGGTGCCACGCTGGAGGCTGGCAGGGGAAATACAGGGATCCTCCATGGCTTTCTATAAAATATACATACACTAGTGAAGCAAGAAACAGATACGACACTGAAGGTATATAATTTCTCCAACACAATCAACAAGTGTTACCCGAATTCAGATTTTCAACTGGCAAAAAAATCCAGTGGTTTACCTGTCCCTCCCTCCAGTCAGGTCCTAGTCATTAGTGGGTTACCTGTCTCTCCCTCCAGTCAGGTGCTAGTCATTAGGGGTTACCTGTCTCTCCCTACAGTCAGGTCCTAGTCATTAGGGGTTACCTGTCTCTCCCTCCAGTCAGGTCCTAGTCATTAGGGGTTACCTGTCTCTCCCTCCAACCAGGTGCTAGTCATTAGAGGTTACCTGTCTGTCTCTCCAGTCAGGTCCTAGTCATTAGTGGGTTACCTGTCTCTCCCTCCAGTCAGGTCCTAGTCATTAGAGGTTACCTGTCTGTCTCTCCAGTCAGGTCCTAGTCATTAGTGGGTTACCTGTCTCTCCCTCCAACCAGGTGCTAGTCATTAGGGGTTACCTGTCTCTCCCTCCAGTCAGGTCCTAGTCATTAGGGGTTACCTGTCTCTCCCTCCAGTCAGGTGCTAGTCATTAGGGGTTACCTGTCTCTCCCTCCAGTCAGGTCCTAGTCATTAGGGGTTACCTGTCTCTCCCTCCAACCAGGTGCTAGTCATTAGAGGTTACCTGTCTGTCTCTCCAGTCAGGTCCTAGTCATTAGAGGTTACCTGTCTCTCCCTCCAGTCAGGTCCTAGTCATTAGTGGTTACCTGTCTCTCCCTCCAACCAGGTGCTAGTCATTAGTGGGTTACCTGTCTCTCCCTCCAACCAGGTGCTAGTCATTAGAGGTTACCTGTCTGTCTCTCCAGTCAGGTCCTAGTCATTAGTGGGTTACCTGTCTCTCCCTACAGTCAGGTGCTAGTCATTAGAGGTTACCTGTCTGTCTCTCCAGCCAGGTGCTAGTCATTAGGGGTTACCTGTCTCTCCCTCCAGTCAGGTCCTAGTCATTAGGGGTTACCTGTCTGTCTCTCCAGTCAGGTCCTAGTCATTAGTGGGTTACCTGTCTCTCCCTACAGTCAGGTGCTAGTCATTAGAGGTTACCTGTCTGTCTCTCCAGTCAGGTGCTAGTCATTAGTGGGTTACCTGTCTCTCCCTCCAACCAGGTGCTAGTCATTAGGGGTTACCTGTCTGTCTCTCCAGTCAGGTCCTAGTCATTAGTGGGTTACCTGTCTCTCCCTCCAACCAGGTGCTAGTCATTAGAGGTTACCTGTCTCTCCCTCCAGTCAGGTCCTAGTCATTAGTGGGTTACCTGTCTCTCCCTCCAACCAGGTGCTAGTCATTAGAGGTTACCTGTCTGTCTCTCCAGTCAGGTCCTAGTTATTAGTGGGTTACCTGTCTCTCCCTCCAACCAGGTGCTAGTCATTAGAGGTTACCTGTCTGTCTCTCCAGTTAGGTCCTAGTCATTAGTGGGTTACCTGTCTCTCCCTCCGGTCAGGTCCTAGTCATTAGTGGGTTACCTGTTTCTCCCTCCAGTCAGGTCCTAGTCATTAGGGGTTACCTGTCTCTCCCTCCAGTCAGGTCCTAGTCATTAGTGGGTTACCTGTCTCTCCCTCCAGTCAGGTCCTAGTCATTAGTGGGTTACCTGTCTGTCTCTCCAACCAGGTGCTAGTCATTAGGGGTTACCTGTCTGTCTCTCCAGTCAGGTCCTAGTCATTAGTGGGTTACCTGTCTGTCTCTCCAGTCAGGTGCTAGTCATTAGTGGGTTACCTGTCTCTCCCTCCAACCAGGTGCTAGTCATTAGAGGTTACCTGTCTGTCTCTCCAGTCAGGTCCTAGTCATTAGTGGGTTACCTGTCTCTCCCTCCAACCAGGTGCTAGTCATTAGAGGTTACCTGTCTCTCCCTCCAGTCAGGTCCTAGTCATTAGTGGGTTACCTGTCTCTCCCTCCAACCAGGTGCTAGTCATTAGAGGTTACCTGTCTGTCTCTCCAGTCAGGTCCTAGTCATTAGTGGGTTACCTGTCTCTCCCTCCAACCAGGTGCTAGTCATTAGAGGTTACCTGTCTGTCTCTCCAGTTAGGTCCTAGTCATTAGTGGGTTACCTGTCTCTCCCTACAGTCAGGTGCTAGTCATTAGAGGTTACCTGTCTGTCTCTCCAGTTAGGTCCTAGTCATTAGTGGGTTACCTGTCTCTCCCTACAGTCAGGTGCTAGTCATTAGAGGTTACCTGTCTGTCCCTCCAACCAGGTGCTAGTCATTAGGGGTTACCTGTCTCTCCCTCCAGTCAGGTCCTAGTCATTAGTGGGTTACCTGTTTCTCCCTCCAGTCAGGTCCTAGTCATTAGGGGTTACCTGTCTCTCCCTCCAGTCAGGTCCTAGTCATTAGTGGGTTACCTGTCTCTCCCTCCAGTCAGGTCCTAGTCATTAGTGGGTTACCTGTCTGTCTCTCCAACCAGGTGCTAGTCATTAGGGGTTACCTGTCTCTCCCTCCAACCAGGTGCTAGTCATTAGTGGGTTACCTGTCTCTCCCTCCAGTCAGGTCCTAGTCATTAGTGGGTTACCTGTCTCTCCCTCCAACCAGGTGCTAGTCATTAGGGGTTACCTGTCTCTCCCTCCAGTCAGGTCCTAGTCATTAGTGGGTTACCTGTCTCTCCCTCCAACCAGGTGCTAGTCATTAGAGGTTACCTGTCTCTCCCTCCAGTCAAGTCCTAGTCATTAGTGGGTTACCTGTCTCTCCCTCCAACCAGGTGCTAGTCATTAGAGGTTACCTGTCTGTCTCTCCAGTCAGGTCCTAGTCATTAGTGGGTTACCTGTCTCTCCCTCCAACCAGGTGCTAGTCATTAGGGGTTACCTGTCTGTCTCTCCAGTCAGGTCCTAGTCATTAGTGGGTTACCTGTCTCTCCCTCCAACCAGGTGCTAGTCATTAGTGGGTTACCTGTCTCTCCCTCCAGTCAGGTCCTAGTCATTAGTGGGTTACCTGTCTCTCCCTCCAGTCAGGTCCTAGTCATTAGGGGTTACCTGTCTGTCTCTCCAGTCAGGTCCTAGTCATTAGTGGGTTACCTGTCTCTCCCTCCAGTCAGGTCCTAGTCATTAGGGGTTACCTGTCTGTCTCTCCACTCTGTCAGGTTCTGCTGGAGTGTCTTTCTCACAGCTGTCAGCAGGCGATGAATATCACGGTGATTCCTGGCCTCTATTTCATAGGCCATCGTCAGGAACTCATTGCGGGCTCGCTGCACCACCAACTGACCAATCAACTACAACATAACACTTCTCTGTAGCTATTCCACATTCTGTTCACCGACAACCTGCCCAAAATAATGAAATACATCAAAGGGGTCTATTTCAGGCAACTGATGTGCTTTTCTCATCACCACCATGATGTTTAACATGATGTGTCAATCACGAGGTATACACCAGTGTTCTGCACCATCTAACTTCATTCTTAGAAACTGCTGTATGTTTGTCTCAATAATGGCACACATACCCTGACATAGTACTGCATTTATGATAATGGAAAAAAATAATTGTGCATAACATAAAATTCAATAAAATACAAGAGTCATCAGAAGATGACATATCCCCCCGGCCCCCACATCTTTGAAAGAACAAATCATCTGACAGTTACTTAAAGTCCAGATTGATTTTAGACTAAGTGCAAATCGTTTCCATGGAAATCATGAAAAAAATAAATGACAAAAATCTGCAAATAGCAAAAGGCACCACTTCAAGATCTGACTCACATATCTGCCAAGTTTTGCTGAAAGATATTAAGAAGTTTTCCAGTTGTGCTCCGGAAACGAAACCTACCCCGCCCTTTTGAGACTAAGTCTGAATCGTTTCCATGGAAACCGAGAAAAATAAAAATGACAAAAATCTGCAAATAGCAAAAGGCACCACTTTGGGATCTGCCTCACATATCTGCCAAGTTTTGCTGAAAGATATTAAGAGGTTTTCGCGTTGTGCTCCGGAAACGAAACCCATCCCTCCTTTTGGGACTAAGTCCGAATCTTTTCCATGGAATCCGGGAAAAAGTGATTTGAAACCTTGGGTTATCTCTCTGTGATCCCTCATTGCCTTTTCACCGGCACTTAGCTTCATATCTAGACAGGGGACAGGTCAGGGCAAAAGAGAGTTAAACAAGATTTTAAAACAAAATTACATGTGATCAATGTTGGTGTAATTTGGTTCTTACAACATTGGCATGAAACAAGTACTTTGTGTCCAAGATATTTTTTATGGATTAAACTTCTTTTTAAATTTCTCTCTCAACGTTTCGAGACCATTCCAGGTCCCTTCATCAGGTTCACAACTCAGGTTCACCTGATGAAGGGACCTGGAATGGTCTCGAAACGTTATGAGAGAAATTTAAAAAGAAGTTTAATCCATAAAAAATATCTTGGACATCAATGTACAACTTCTAAATGCCACTGAAAGACATCAAGTACTTTGTGGTATTGATATTCATAACAGACATATACCCCAGGCAGTACAACAAACAAAAGCCTCAATATTCAGTCTACTTCACACTGGATGACCTTAACCTACAATGTCTTTCAAAGGTATAAAGATGGTGAGGGAAATTGCAAACATTGCACCTGACAGGGCCTGTCAAAGTGTGTCACATGTTAGCTGTAACACCCCACCTGGTCCTGGTTGGAGGTGAAGTAGCCCTGTCTGGCCAGTTTCAGCTTGTAGTCGCCAGTAATGATGTTGGTGCCCTGAAGGTCAGCCAACCTGCTGATCAGGGCAGGGACGTCTGTTTGCTGCAACATTGTGAGGTCTCTTCTCACTGCATTCAGAGACGTATGGCTTTCCTGAAGAGAGTCCCTGAAACATGCACACACTCTATACTGACACACAACTCCCTGAAACATGTACACACTGTATACAGACACACAACTCCCTGAAACATGTACACCCTGTATACTGACACACAACTCCCTGAAACATGTACACACTGTATACGGACACACAACTCCCTGAAACATGTACACACTGTATACAGACACAACTCCCTGAAACATGTACACACTGTATACAGACACACATCTCCCTGAAACATGTACACACTGTATACTGACACACAACTCCCTGAAACATGTACACACTGTATACAGACACACAACTCCCTGAAACATGTACACACTGTATACGGACACACAACTCCCTGAAACATGTACACACTGTATACGGACACACATCTCCCTGAAACATGTACACACTGTATACGGACACACAATTCCCTGAAACATGTACACACTGTATACAGACACACATCTCCCTGAAACATGTACACCCTGTATACTGACACACAACTCCCTGAAACATGTACACACTGTATACTGACACACAACTCCCTGAAACATGTACACACTGTATACAGACACACATCTCCCTGAAACATGTACACACTGTATACGGACACACAACTCCCTGAAACATGTACACACTGTATACAGACACACAACTCCCTGAAACATGTACACACTGTATACAGACACACAACTCCCTGAAACATGTACACACTGTATACGGACACACAACTCCCTGAAACATGTACACACTGTATACAGACACACAACTCCCTGAAACATGTACACACTGTATACAGACACACAACTCCCTGAAACATGTACACACTGTATACAGACACACAACTCCCTGAAACATGTACACCCTGTATACTGACACACATCTCCCTGAAACATGTACACACTGTATACGGACACACAACTCCCTGAAACATGTACACACTGTATACAGACACACAACTCCCTGAAACATGTACACACTGTATACGGACACACAACTCCCTGAAACATGTACACACTGTATACAGACACACATCTCCCTGAAACATGTACACACTGTATACGGACACACAACTCCCTGAAACATGTACACACAGAATACTGACACACAACTTCCTGAAACATGTACACACTGTATACAGACACACATCTCCCTGAAACATGTACACACTGTATACGGACACACAACTCCCTGAAACATGTACACACTGTATACTGACACACAACTCCCGGAAACATGTACACACTGTATACTGACACACAACTCCCGGAAACATGTACACACTGTATACTGACACACAACTCCCGGAAACATGTACACACTAATGACTGATTCCCTGATACACTTTTAAAGTAATTGTAAAACAAGCAGCTACAAGTCACTAAGGTTACATAATCCCCCTTCGCAAATTATTAGATCAAACTATAAAAGTAATGAAAGTGAAGGTCGTAGTTTAAGATGAAGTTAAAACAACAAAAACATGACCAGTGAACCTCTCTTGATATCTTGCTCTGTAGCTGTTCAAACACACAAATATTTTCAAGACTCACTTTGACCTTGACATGAATGCCATGGTGTATGAAATATGCAAAAAATAGTAATAAAACAATTGCTTATATAAAAACATTGAAGAAAAGTCTTGAAAGTCTATGAAGAAAATCCAGTGAACCGTTCACCAAACCTGACTGGGACCTTTCGCATATCGTGATAAACCTAGGTACCAAGTATGAAAAGAATCTAGTCAACAGTTCTTAAAGGTCACATGCAACGTAAAACACAACTTTGCAGATTCTGATACCTTTCGGTATGGACTTACCGACACAAATCGTCAAAAATGCAAATTCAACTTATAAAGTTGAAAAATAACGCGATGAAAAAAAACGCGAGAAATCGGAGTTCAAACGTTTCACTAATTTTCCCCAGACTTTTCTGGGGAATACGGGTTTGAGCAGCTGGGCTGCGCTCATGGCAACGATCTTGCAGTCAAATAGGTTAAGCAAACTTGGGCGGGCTGTCTGGTGAATACTTTCGGTGAAGGTTTTGGTGTGAGCTATTTTCATAATGTTTTGTTGATATCTCACAGTAGCGAGCTTTTATATGTTATGGCGGTAAATAAACTGTTTATATAATTTCATTTGTCTATTTCACCACCGCGTTCTTCTTACCGAGTCACTTTCTCAAGTTCGATGCTTAAAAGCAATGTCATTATTTAGCGTTGACACAATTTCTAACTGTGATATAGATATGTCGTTGTCACAGACAAAACTCAATGTCTTGTGTTATTGACATCTATGTGTCTGCCTGCCTGTCTGCTAATGACAATATTCAATACACAACTGCGATCACTGACCACATGCAATTTGAACTTAACACCAATCAGGCTATACACCATAAACAAAACGCATTGATTTATGGCCCGAGTTCGGTCTCTGTCACATTATGTAATTACACGGACAGGCAGGGACAGGCAGGTGTGATACTTGAACACATGACATGTTATGATGTCTGTTGATTGCAAAATGTCATACACAAAAAATGAGCATGTATTTACAAAACCCAACATCTCTATATATACACACACAATGAGCCGGCGGCATCTGCTAATGAACCAGCCGTTACACTTGAGTGCACACCCACCCGCTCTGACTGGGTTCGGTATCCCGGCTGCTTCGTTTCGAGGGAGGTAAACCTAAGTACAAAATATTGCACTTTTGATTTGCGATTATACGCTTATAATTTTGTTTATTTGTTTTTTCATAATCAGCAATGCATATTATATGTCATGAAGAAGTGATAATTGTGTTTTAATTATGTTTGATTTTTCGGTTGCATGTGACCTTTAAGATATTCCAATTCGTATGTATGTACAAACTGACAGACGGAGTCTAATACTATATTCCCCGCTTCACGCTAAACGTGCAGCGGGGGATAAAAAACAAAAAAGCTGGTACAGGTTTGAACCGAAGCAGAAAACATTCACCAAAACGCAACATGGTCCAGATAACAATGCATCTGTCCAAAAACTGATGAAAGTCGGTTCAGTTTTTGACTTTAGAGGTGAGCGAATGGCAGCTAACTGCATTCAAGAAATTTATGTTTGATGGAGGAAGCATCATGGTATGTGGCAGCATTTTAGGCCAGAGAACAAAACTGGTTATCATTTGAGGAAATCTGAATGCCCATCGATACAGGGATGAAGTATTGAGTTTTTCTGTGGTGCCTTTTATTTGACAACAGCCAAGAGAAGTCATTTTGCTGCAAGACAACACAAGGACTCACACGGCCAGAATTGTTCTAGAATACCTGCACAATGGTAACATCAACGTACTGCCTTGGCCAGCTCGTTCTCCAGACATGAACCCCGCTGAACGTCTCTGGGATCATCTTGAGACAGTGTGTACCACCTCCAGTGAACCGGCAGGAACTTGAACCTGGCTCTCTGGGACTAATGGAACAGGTTTCCTGCTGACGTCATTCGTCAAATGACAACGTCAATGAGGAGACTTGTGTTGGCGTGTATGGATGCCCAGGGTGGTCACACTCGCTATTGTCTCATAATGTGACTCTTTATACACTCTTTGAAAAAACTCTGATTTGTGTCATGTTTAATTTTGACCCCTTGACTCTTTCTTAATGAATTGAGGCAAATGCAAGATCAACATTACAATGAATTTTCAGTCAAATTATTGGAAAATGATTTCCGGCTGTAAAATAATTATCATAAATATCACATCACCAGTTTATTCAATAATATCTGTGTCACTGAGTTTAAGCATCATTTCCAGGTTGCCATGATAATGAACAAATGTTCATACATACCGACTGACTGACTGACTGAGTTTGGTTTTACGCCGCTTTTAGCAATATTCCAGCAATATCACGGCGGGGGACACCAGAAATGGGCTTAACACATTGTGCCCATGTGGGGAATCGAACCCGGGTCTTCGGCGTGACGAGCCAACGCTTTAACCACTAGGCTACCCCACCGCCCCTCATACATACCGAAGTTTATTCAGATCCAAGGGAAACTCCCCTTTCTGTAAGTGTTGAATGATCTTTTGTGTGTGACTGACTGTTGCTGTCATTTGTTTCTCGCTGGTTGAAGCCTCAATCAGCTGACTCTGACTGATGGGATACCTGCAATCACAAAACAAATGACTACTTTAACTATACTTTCAAAATTGGACACTACTATAGTTTGACAAGAAATTATTGAGAATTTTTCATACCATTTAGGCCATCAATATTTACCATATCAAAAGTGTACATGCTCTGATAATGATTGAAGGTAGGCAACTCAAAGTGCTATATTTGTAAGAATGACTAGAGTTGTCTCCCTTGGTAAACAAGCTACCAGACCACTGTGGGCATGGCAGCTTTGGTGATTGGTTTGTAGTTCAATGCCGCACTCAGCAATATTCCAGCTATATGGTGGCTGTCTGTAAATAATCGAGTCTGGACCAGACAATCCAGTGATCATCATCATGAGCATCATTCTACGCAATTGGGATACGATGACGTGTCAACCAAGTCAGCGAGTCTCACCACTCGATTCTGTTGGTTCCCTCTTACAACAAGCATGGGTTACTAAAGACCAACTCTAACCGGGAAAAAGGAAACAATATTTCTGATTAATACTATCCAGGAAACAGATCAGCTGAGGTCAAAACAAAGAAAACAGACATTCCACTCCCAACTGTTTAGGGGTGAAAGGGTACACTTGAGCTTCGCTTTGGTATGTATTGCGGTACAGAACCCTCGGTTCGGTACAGAACACAAATTTTAGATTTGACATTTCTTATAAAATAAATTAACAGCAAACTTCAGCCATATGCTAAAGCTGACAAGAAGTACTGTTAATTACATCAGAAGTATCAGTCACTAACTGAGATGTAAGATGAAGCCTACATTTATCAAGGAGCATATCAGCTTGTAAAACATTATTGCTACGACATGTTGTACAAGATTTGAAAGGTCTAATCCTATTGTTGATAAATATGAAAGTTATTTGGATTATAGATTCAAATAATACAACTACAATTAATTCTTTCAACACCAGCCAACCACAAGTTTTACTGCCATGACACCAAGTACCCAGAGGCTCTGAGATGATAAATAAAACCCACATATAACAGCTTGTAAAACAGTATTCCCACTACATGTCATGCACCATTTTTAACATATTATTCAAGTAATATAACTACAACTTAAACAAGCATAGTTGTAATGTAAATGCAAGCTTATGGTATAAATTCCTTAATACTACAGAAACCCATGATGCAAGGGTAACATCCAGATAAACCAAGGAAGGAAGTGAAAACTCAGAGCTACAGAAAACCTTTTGGATCAATGGGTTATGTACTCGCTTGTGTTCATCTCAATTGGGTATCCTAGTTTACCTTTGAGTAACCAAATGAATTCTCACCTCACTCAAACTCAATTGGGTATTTTGCCATTTTCCATTAATTTTAAAAATATAATAAAGTTTAAATGTTAGTGTTTGTTATTTATATTTGATCAGTAATATGAGAAACGATAAGAAAGACTGCAAGTTGCCAAGTTCATGTCCTGAAATAGAACCCGTCATATACTTCAGTTATTTTATCTATCCACCAGCGCGCAAGTAAATTTTTGACATTATTGTGTGTATGCATGTAAGATCACATGTATTGAGTATTTACAAAACTTCAAGCGTACTTGTACGCAATCGACATAATAGGAATTGAGTTTTTGCTTAAGTATTTGCGTAATTTACGCAGACACGCAGCTTACCTGTACCTCTGAAAACTGGCAGCGTTTTTGTTTTTCATTTGTAAGATGTCATAATATCCTCTTACCTTTCTTTTAGTTTTAATTTTATGTAATCGGACAATTATAAAAAAGTATGTTTTAATGATATCTACAGTCGCCTATTTCCCAATAACAGTTGCTTTCCGCTCGGTAACACAACACCAGGATATCCCTCCCTTTCGAAGCTCTGTATGAAAAACACGCAAGAAGATTTGTTTAATGTATTTCGTTCGAAAGCTCAGAGCATCAACAATATCACCACTTGCCAGGGGTATTTTTGCAGTTGTAAGAAGCCATTTTATTGGATACAGAATGGTTTCCAATGATGCTATTTTGACCACAGTCTGTTATAATGGTCAAAATCAAACGCTTTGGTCAATGACTTGATACATCTATTACTTACCTTCTCAACTCAGTGACACAGCGAGATTTAGATACAGTTAAATATGTACTTCCCCTGGACATGCTCAATAAATACACGTGTGTTTTTCAGGATCTGAACAAAAGTTTCTCAGAGGGCTGTTGTAAATAATCAGCCTAGTTTCCACATATTCTTACACAGCCTTTAGTCTGGCCAGCTCCAGGGAGTCCTGCACGATGACATCTTGCTTCTCTCCCCGCACCATCAGACACTCTGGGTTGGACACCTCCAGCAGCTCATACTTCGTCCCCTCATTCTGACCAGCCATCTCCGCAACACCCTGCATGTGAACATTGTACACTGTACACATGACCTGCATACAGACACTATACACATGACCTGCATACAGACACCTCCAGCAGCTCATACTTCGTCCCCTCATTCTGACCAGCCATGTCCGCAACACAATGCATGTGAACATTGTACACTGTACACATGACCTGCATACAGACACTATACACATGACCTGCATACATGCACTATACACATGACCTGCATACAGACACTATACACATGACCTGCATACAGACACTTTACTCATGACCTGCATACAGACACTGTACACATGACCTGCATACAGACACCTCTAGCACCTCATACTTCGTCCCCTCATTCTGACCAGCCATCTCCACAACACCCTGCATGTGAACATTGTACACTGGACACATGACCCGAATACTGACATTGTACACATGACTTGCATACAGACACTGTACACATGACCTGCATACAGACACTGTACACATGACCTGCATACAGACACTACACACATGACCTGCATACAGACACCTCCAGCACCTCATACTTCGTCCCCTCGTTCTGACCAGACATCTCCACAACACCCTGCATGTGAACATTGTACACTGGACACATGACCCGAATACTGACATTGTACACATGACCTGCATACAGACACTATACACATGACCTGCATCCAGACACTATACACATGACCTGCATACAGACACTATACACATGACCTGCATACAGACACTTTACACATGACCTGCATACAGACACTATACACATGACCTGCATACAGACACTTTACACATGACCTGCATACAGACACTATACACATGACCTGCATACAGACACTATACACATGACCTGCATAGACACTATACACATGACCTGCATACAGACACTATACACATGACCTGCATACAGACACTATACACATGACCTGTATAGACACTGTACACTATACACATGACCTGTATACAGACACTGTACACTATACACATGACCTGTATAGTCACTGTACACTATACACATGACCTGTATACAGTCACTGTACACTATACACATGACCTGTATAGACACTGTACACTATACACATGACCTGTATACAGACACTGTACACTATACACATGACCTGTATAGTCACTGTACACTATACACATGACCTGTATACAGTCACTGTACACTATACACATGACCTGTATACAGACACTGTACACTATACACATGACCTGTATAGTCACTGTACACTATACACATGACCTGTATACAGACACTGTACACTATACACATGACCTGTATACAGACACTGTACACTATACACATGACCTGTATACAGACACTGTACACTATACACATGACCTGCATACAGTCACTGTACACTATACACATGACCTGCAAACACAAACTGCACAAACAATACTCAGTGACTCACATCAAAGAATCTTTTCTTGGTGAACAATTTCAGCTCATGGCTGAACTTGTCCTCCATGTCATGGTAGTCATCCAGTTTGACATGGGAGAGGAAGGTTGGAGGGTGTGAGGTCTCCTGTCTAGACTCCATGGGTGGGTCGTACAGCGAGTGTATCTTCATCACGCTCCGCACAAGGCCATCCAGGCTCTCGTTCACCTGACATGAAATCAATCTGTGAGTATGAACAGAAATGTGGGCCATGTGGTCCATTTCACAGAGAGGCCATCTGTGACATGGATGTTTCCATATGTGATGCAGACACTACCTGCCCTGTGTCGGACTCAACCTAAACCATGGGCAAACACTGAGGTGACAGGGATAAAGGCTACTGTTCATAAGTTCTGTGTTGACACATTTCTACATCACAAACAGAAAAACTATCACAGACCTTAGACTTCTCACCTGATGTATCATGTACACAGTGGCAATGTTCAACAGGGCAGTTGGTGTTCTGATGTAGCACTGGCACCATGACACAGATCAAACATTGTGAGCACTAGATCCTCGACTAGGCCCATCTTCCAATGCACCTGTAGTCAGGGCCTAGATTTTCGAAGCTCTCTTAACGCTAAGATAGTCGTAAGTGCCATACATTAACATTAACTTATGACTATCTTAACGCTAAGAGAGCTTTGAAAATCTAGGCCCTGGTCGCCTACTCTTGCTGGATTTACATAAGGCTGTAGTTCGAGGCTTGATTCCCTGCTTACCAACCTCATTATTGTCTGTGTCGAGTTGTTCCACTGCCTTCTGGCAGTCCCTCTTGGCTTGAGACTCCAGCACAGTCAACTGAGACAGCCGATGACCCAGCCCTGTCAGATGAGCACTACGAAAAACACAACCTCATCAACAACTTGAAGTATGTCACTAATTCAAGGTAGGCATATATAATATACAGTGGAAACCTGATAAGTAAAATTTCAAGGGACTTGCCAAAATTGTTTACTTATCAGGTATTTTACTTATCCAAACTTATAAAAACCTGCAATGACAAAAAAATGACAACCATATGCATGTATATGTATGCATATGGAACAATGAACAACATATCAGGGCTGGCCTCCAGTTGTCAGTGTATTGTCAACTGCTTGATGCCAGCGAGCTGTAAGTAGGATGTTTGTTTGACTGGAGACTGACACGACTGCCCCTCATGTCGGATTATGTGGTGATCGCTAATTTAGTTATCCAGTCTCTTTTGTTAAGTAATTTACTTCCAGGGACCATGAGAGACGTTTAGTTAAGCGGTATTGTTTACTTATCCGAGTTTAGTTAACCAGACTCTAATAGTGATAATTAATGAAGAAATTTGCCGGGACCAAAGAAAAGTGTTTACTTATCAGGTCTGTTTAGTTAAGCGGTCTTTACTTAGGCGGTTTCCACTGTACATCGCAGACATATATATCAAGTTTGTCTATTTCTCACAAATATCTTTTATGTTAATAAGACATACAGTATGTTCTAAAGCATCATCATCAAGGCACTGGTCGGAGCACTGACTAGCTAATGACAGTATCAACATAATAATATCAGATACTGTCATAAATATCTTCAGGAATTTCACACCAAGCGAACATTTACATATGTTTTCATTAAGGCTGTAACGATTCACTCGCATATTCGGTGAATCGAACCGTAACCCTTCATGAATTCAATTCGTTATTCGTGGTGACCAAAACCGAATATTAACGAATATTTACGATTTTTTAAAGGGAGCATGCTTTACTTGAACCCTTATGTCCTTTCCAAAGTGAGATATGCAAGAATGGAACATATACTAGCATTGCAGTAGTGCAAGTCATGTTAGTTTGCCGACCCGCACATGGTACTGTCGAATATAACTATTACATACCAAATTTGAGTGTCATGAGATCACTGGTTATTGCTGTGACAAGTCAAAACTGTCAACATGGGCGTTCCATATTGTACATCAATCACTTAACTACAATATTGTATTCGTGAATAATTATTCGTATTCGTTATCCAATATTTATGATACGTATCATATTCGCCACATAGTGTATGCATTGCAGCTCTAGTTTTCATACTTCAGTCTGTCTCTTCTGTGAATCAACTGCTGCTTCTTCTGCTTGTCTTCATCCAAGTTATCACTTAATATGGCTACTTTCTTCCTGAAAACATACTGATACATATTACACAGCTTCTATGTCACACACACATATAGTATGACCAGAAATTATTGAGAATTTTAGGAATATGTTTAATTGGATTTCTAGTATAAACAACCTTGACCAGCTATCAAGTGCTTGGTTTCATTCAAGAGAGACAACTCCGTTAATCCTTTGTCATTAGTTTGTGAAGAGTTATCCCCCTTTGTTTACTTGCTAGAAGACAACATTTTCAGTGATCCTCAGTATGGATGATTTAGAGAAGAGGAAGTTGATTTTAGAGTATTATAACAAGGAAATCAGATCAGCTAAAGTGATTTCAAGTAGAACAGGCATCCCTTTGTCCACTGTTTATCGTGTTTTGAAAAATATTGCAAATGGATATGGCATTGAGCACCAGGGAGGCGCAGGTAGGCCCAGAAAATTGACTGTCGGTGACAGGAGGCGGCTTGGTATTCTTGTTTCTAAAAACAAACGAAGGAGTTTAGAAAACTTAAGTCTGGATATGATTGATAGAGGAACTGTGGCTGTCTGTAAGGAGACAATTAGAACTGAGCTGCATGCAATGGGTTGGCAGAAAAGTCGAGCAATTCCATCACCGATCAGGAAACCTGAACAAAAGGAGCGAAAGTTGAACTGGTGCTCACAGCATAGATATTTTAACTGGGACAATGTGATTTTCTCAGATGAAAGTTGTGTGTGGCTGTTTCCTAATACACTGAAATTCTGGACCAAACAAACTGAAAAACCTTTGTATCAGCGCCCAAACTACAGTCCGAAATTTAACGTGTGGGGTGGCATATCTGTGTTAGGGGCAACGCCCCTCTGTGTATTTGAAGGGAATATGAACAGTGAGCGGTACACAGATATTCTCGGGGGACATTTACTTCCATCTGCTCACATGTTCTATGGAAATTTTTGGATTTTCCAGCAGGACAATGACCCAAAACATCGTTCGAAGCATTCACAGGCCTGGTTTCGGACCCAAAATATGACATTATTAGATTGGCCAAGCTATAGTCTTGACCTAAATCCAATAGAAAATGTTTGGGGACTTATGAAGGAAAGTGTCAATAAGAAAAATCTGACAAATATTGCTGAAATGAAAGAAGAGGTGGTCCGATATTGGGACAGCATGGACCACAACTTTCTAACTTCTTTGATCAGTAGTATGCCCGGCCGCATTGAGGCCTGCATTGCTGCCCATGGTGACTTGACAAAATACTAACTGTTCACCTGTCTTTGAATCTGGAGTTATGTTCTGCTAATATTCACATTTAATACGCGAGTAATGAGTGAAAAAAATAAAAAATTACAATCTTTAAATTCTCAATAATTTCTGGTTGTACTGTATAACAGTCGGAAGATTTGTCACTCAAGTGCTGAAATACTTCCAAGGTCAAACCATAAAGCTGATTTGCTCCAATGTTACTGAATTCACTGATCCCTGAAATGACCCTGTAAACTGACTTTGTGAACTCAGGGGTAGCTCTTACACCTGCTGACAGATGTGAAATTGATTCCTCGAGATGAAATCGCACAAAAAGCTTCTGCACAGGGCACATGTCAGATCATGATCTGAGTGAGTTACATGCAAGCAGCAGTATCCAGAGACAGCAGAACGGTTGTGGAGATACAAGTCCTTCAGTAGTTAGAGGTTTGGCCTCCTTCAGAATTCAGCACCACAAACTTTACAAATTACATCACAATACCTTATGATGTTATTTGTGAAGCGTTGTCTCCAAAACCAATGCTCTTTGTGTGCAAAGCTCCTCTCAGTATTCTGTTGTCTCATTGTCACTGAGTAAGCCAAGTGTTGTAGGGTGTTTGTGTGCTAAACATAGACAGCGGTGGTACATTTTATCTTAAATATAATTTACATTTTGGTTTCAACGTAATATTTATGACTAATTGATTTATAAATGGGAACTAATAGACATATATATAAATATATTTTTTCATTGAGTAATTTGTATCATTACACAGGAATGGAATTTATTTATTATATTTTATTTTTCGAAGCAGTAAGAATGCATTACACTGGACACGTAAACCATTTTCGTGACCCGCTTCGGTCAATGTATTCTATTTATTGGGATTATTTTGTGGGTGTTAGGGGTTAGGGTTAGGTAGATGTATGTGGTGTAATGCATATGTACCATTTGTTGTTTTTCCTTTCGCATTTTTAATACTTTTTTCACACAAAATCGTTGAAAGTACACAATGAAATGGTTTAACGTAGAAAAACGGGGCTAATGGAAATTGGCCTGGAACTTGCACAAAGCTACTTTTACTTGGAGTAAGCCATCTCACACGCTACACTTGTTCTGTAATGATTTGAAGGCTAACTCACCCTCATGCCATCACCAGACATGCTCATGTCTCCCTCATTCCTTAGTTGGATCCACATTATCCTTACAGTGTTCCCTACAACACTTTTCTGTCACAAAATCACCAGATGATTTTTTTAGAAGCATGTAATTCATGCATACCGTAAATTTGACGTCTGACGCCTGACATCAACAGCCGTTTTCAGTTCACGCCATATTGGCTCATTCCACACCAAAAGCTATCTTGTAGATTACAGAATGGGACAAGTGTGACAAATGGCATTGGGACCATTCGCCAATTGTCCGAAGATTAAAATCACGAGACACCAAGTCTATCCGTAACCTTCGTAATTGTCCATGACCTATTCGATGCTTTCTGTTCATTTCCGTAACGTCTCAGGAAATACAAGATGAAATTACACCTTGTGTAAACTGTGTGGACGTAGCTCAGTCGGTTACCTCTTGGGCTAACAATCCGAAAGTCGCGGGTTCGTGTCCGACAGATTCTCACAAACCTGGTTGCTTGTGTTGGGGGACATGTGACCTACGACAGAACCCATCCTCACGAGACGTTATGGTGCTCCAGAGGTTCATGTGGGAAAATGAAAATATCTCAAAGAACAACACCAACATCCCAAATTTAGCTAACCTGTAGAGGTTTCCAATTCTTTGAAGAGAATCGTCCTTGGGGTACATATATGCATTTTCTGCGGCTGAAAATTTCATGTGACAGTTGTATCAATGTTTTAATAAAAATATTGTACAATAAATAAAAATCTTTTTTATTTATTTTACGGCCCCCACCACGTGGAGTTACCCCCCTGCTATGCATGCGCAGCCAACCAGGTAAGCACCTAGGCCCGTATCATCATTCCTTCTGCTGTCACTCTAGCGTTCACACGTGTTTCCAAAGAGTTACAAGCTGATTTACTTCTTATCGGAAGAATGTCTGAGACTTCAACTACTGTATGTATGGCCTTTATTCGTTCTTGAGAAACGTTTTCTGGACTTTGCAGTCAGTTACTGTAATCGTACAGGGTGCAATTTTCGCGGAAAGTTCACAAAAGACCTATTAGCGCAGTAGTTTTTTCGCGCATTTCAAACGCCCTGAGTGATGGTGTCCATCACAAAGTTGTTATCTGAGAGAATAAACAAATTGCATGTTGTTCCTACTTAAGTATTTGTCATGACTTGACCAAGAATAATTCGCTTGGTATGATTATTCGCGCACAATCATTTTGCGCTAAAAGCGCGAAAATTAATCCCATGCGAAAATAACTACGATTACAGTATTTCTCTTTTATGTGACTTTGTATTAAACTTTTACGCTAGCTATCAATGTATCAACCAGGTAAGCACCTAGGCCCGTATCATCATTCCTTCTGCTGAATAAATCAGTGAACAAAATTGCGGGGAGGTTGGTGGCCCTACCGCAAGGACGATTCTCTTCAAAGAATTGGAAACCTCTACAGGTTTAGCTAATTCTTTTCATAGAGATCGTCCTTGGGGTACATATATGCATTAACTCATACTCCCAAAGACCGGAGGCTAGGGAGGAGGGAATTCTGTCAAAGTACACATAAATAGCAATCGACCTCATAAGTTAAGCAAAACAGTTTGCACACTGTGCAAAAGTAAAAAACCCGCCCACATCATGAATCTATTAAAGAGCACAGTAAGGGGGAAAACCAACACAACTATAATCTCATGAGAGAAATCGAAAGTAGTTAGATATGATAACAGCGGATATATCAATTATACACAACTGAAAACAGCGTCAACTGTCCAGATAACCAAGACTCACTCTGTCGGGGTGGCAGGACAATGTCCACTGGAGAGAACAGAACGGCCAAAACGCACACGATCACGAGAATATGTATCGAGCTGATAGTGCCTGATAAAAGTGCTAGGCCTGCTCCAAATAGCGGCAGAGCAGATCTCTTCAATGGGCAGTGCCGATGCAAAAGCCTTTGAAGTGGCCACTGCCCTGACCGAGTGAGCCTTCAACCCCTCAGGGGAAGGCTTGCCCTTAGCCTGATAAGCAGCACAAATTGCCGATACAAGCCAGCGTGATAGGGTCTGTTTGCTAGCCGGCATCCCAGCCTTCCCTCCAACGTAACAGCAGAACATATGGGTACCCGTACGGATCCCTTGTGTTTGTTTGATATAGACCTTGAGGGTCTTACGGACATCCAATGGGTGAGTGCTCGTTGCAGAGGTCCCCGATGTGGAAGGCTGGGTAAGAGTAGGAAGTTCAGTAGGAGCTGTCACATGGAAAGCTTGATTGATCTTCGGACGGTAAGTATCCGGGAGGCAAATACTGACATGATCTGGATGGAACACAGTCAGCGCCGGGTCTGCTGACATAGCATGTAAGTCGCCAACCCTTTGCCCAGATGTTACCACCACCAGAAATACGGCCTTCCATGTTAACAGCTGAATGGAAATAGCCGATAGACGTGAGGACGTAGGACCGGACAGCCAATCTAGCATGATTGACAAATCCCAAGATGGGCTGGTTCGCCTGACAGCAGGTCGAACCCGATCCACGCCAGCTAAAAAGCGCTGCATAAGAGGGTGCTGCCCCAGAAGAGCACCATCGACAGGGATGTGGAAAGTGGAAAAAGCGGTGGAGTAGCCACGAATGGTCGAAGCCGCCAAGACTTCTTCCAA